CTCTATCTCTCTCTCTCTCTCTCTCTCTCTCTCTCTCTCTCTCTCAAGCTCTCTGAAAAAATATGCATTGCCCAGGGTCAAAGAACAGGAGCTATAATAATATAAAACACTCGAGTTTTTGTATTTTTTTCTTGTTTTGTTTTGTTTTGCTTCGTAATCCTCGGGAACTCTGACATTGTTTGCAAATCGAAAATTTTGACTGATGGCCTTGGAAGCATTTAAGAGAGACTCGCTATCAATTTAATTCGCCTGCATTTCTAGATAAGGGTACTGTCAATAAGTAACTTTTCGACGAATCCTCTTCATTCGAGGAGACAAAATGAGTTGCCCGCCAGACCCCTCGTAGCGGGGGATCTTCTAGAGAGAAACATTTTTACGATGACGCACCCTTACTTCTCGTGCTCTCGTTTCTTATGCATGTGCTTTAAGTGTGTGGAAGAAGCAGAACATGTCTGATTTCGAGGATCTTGCTGGGGGCCTATTTAGTGTCAATGATTGCAGGGGACCTGGACTGCTGTTTTTATGCGCATAGTTCTACAGCGACATGGCACATGAGGGATTTGTGTCAAGAAGCAGGCTGCCTCCAGATTGTTTCTGTCGCCTATTTCAAAGATTACATAAACGCTTAAAGTATCTAATTACTTCAAGAATGCGATTATTATTTTGTTAAAATGAAGTAGTGACTCATGTTGCTACAAGAGCTTCCTGTATTGTTTGTAAGCCTGTCAGGGACACATTTTTGACTCGTGGTTTTTTTTTTATTTGACGTCTAACAGAAAAATGAAAAACACTGTTTGTGGAGTCATTTTTTTGTTTTAATTCAAAAAGATTTTTTTTTAAAGTAAGAAGGCATGTTTTAACGAAATAAATTTTTCTCGCGCTACCCTGTCAGATACTGTTTCCCAACTTCGTAGCAACCTATCTGTTCGAGTGTAGAATGTTTGTCCATTCAAGAATAATTTCATTTTGGACAACTACATCCTATTTTCGGAGAATGTCTTGGATATTCATTCTTACTTGTGTTTCTTCAGTTTTAAAAAGGAGTTCGTTTTAAAGGTATCCGGGAAACGTGCACTTTGTTTTTTTTAAAAATAACTTACATATTATTGTGTGTGCCTCGTGCTCAATGAACCTGTGTTTTACGCCTTAAGCCGAGAAAATTGAGTACGCAATTTGGTTCAGAGCAATGACTCAAAAAATAAGAGAACATCTCATAACCGGTGTCAGCACGCACTAAGCATCGAACCACATACATTATCATCAAACAAGCACCTCAAATCTAGGTTGACGAGGACCCAAAGGAAAAGATTATTTTATAGTGCATCTTTTGGAGCGTTAGAGAGAGAGAGAGAGAGAGAGAGAGAGAGAGAGAGAGAGAGAGAGAGAGAGAGAGAGAGAGAGAGAGAGAGAGAGGATATATCTACTTTTTTGCTTTGCTACTATTGCTATTACTAGTACCATCACTATTACTACCACTACAACAACAACAACTACTACTACTTCTACTACTACTACTACTACTACTACTACTACTACTACTACTACTACTACTACT